CAAAATCCATTGTGTATTGAGCAATTGTGAGTTTCATTGCTAATAAATCCAGCTTAATATCTATTATAGAAGGAATGTGTTATTTGTATTTTGTTTTAAATGTATTGAATTGTCTCTGGTGGCCTCTGTACATCCAAGGTGTCCACAACTGAGAACGTCTGGCATGAACTCAAGGTTAGAACAGCTGTAAAGCTAAATAATAACTAACCTTTATTAATGTACATATGCGTAAGATAGTAAACACAACACCGTACAAGTTGGATAAAGGCTCAGTGATTATCTCCTGACATATTTTGAGGTTTAGCGAAACCCTCTCCATTACAAACCCTTCAATTGCAGCAACTGACACTCAATATCACAAAGTAAATGTAAGAACGTAAAGACATAAGTGCTATGTTGGGCATATTATTACATCACAATGGTCAGATAATGCAACATAGTGTCCCTGGTTCAAGTGACGAGGGCAACAATACTGTATCAGACAGGACAGCTAACATTGTAAGCTAGCTACTTCTGTCTTACATCAGGCTTGCAATCCGACAAACAGCTCATTCGGCTTTACTGTCCTCAGGTGGTTCAGCAGTTCAGCTGTCTCCACAGTCTGATTAATTCACACTCTGATTGGCTGTTGAGTTGAGGCATTAGGAGTTACGATTGGTTAGGCACAGCCAGTTGTAAAGTTTCAAAGCTCATGCCAGAGTGGACTCGGTATATATAATTGGTAGGCCTAAATGCTGTCTTAGCAACGAGTAACTTGTCTTCTGATCTTATTCACAAGTTGTACATGTATTGCTCATGTGGATACACTGCATCAGGGCTGCCTCCCTGTAGCTCTGCACTATAGCATGTGCTACATTACCATGCATGATTTCAGGCTTGTCATAATTTCAGGGAAAATACAGCTATAGGAAGAAAAGCTATTACCATTATTATCAGGTGTTAAACATCTGAAAAGACTAACATCTGTGAGGAGAGAATCATGTGTAATTTTAAAATTCATAGCAATGCACGCTAGGCGACGCTTGCTCATTTACCGTTTCAGGAATCCAGAACTTTACCTTCTCTCACAGTGTAAAATATCCTGCCCAGCCTTGACTGGGGCTCCTCTGGTGCCGTGGTTAATGTTACTGTCTCCACCCTGGTCCTCTACTGGCTTCAGCTGTACTTTAATAACGGACAGTCTGACCACAGAGATTTCACAGATATCCGAACGTTGTCAACTGCTACCTTCACAGCTACGTGTGTGTGTGTGCATTGGTGGGTTTGAGTGTTTTATTTCATTTGGCCTTTTTGGTCTTAATGTCTTTGAACGACTGCACATATGGCAGTTTTCCTGCATGTCTCGAAAAGCATGCTGTGTATGCTAATGTGGTCTAGTGACTCCATAGCCCCTCCGCCCTTATATGTATATATATGCCTGTGAGTGTGTGTGTGTTCTTGTGTAACATCTCTGTAACATCTCTAATACACCCTGACCGTGGATGCTCCACAGATTGGCCCATTGTGTCATCTTCTCTTTATGGTGGTAAAAAGCAGACAATCCTTTGCACACGAAGTGCACATTTAAGCCCTAAAACTAATCATATTTGGCAGAGCTTAGATTTCTGGAATGTGGAGCAATTTAATGGAACAGAGAATTAGTTTCTCTTCAGGATGTATTTCATCAAGGGATCAAAGGGCAGTAAGGAGCATTGCTGATGTCCAGTTCAAGAACACATCCATGGAGGTAATTGTCAGTTTAGGAGTTGCTGTTCTTTAGCATCCTCAGCCATGCCGCCAAATCTTTCAGATTCTAATGGCAGCTCGTCTCGTAATTACTTTCGTGACTATAAAGCAGTCTAAACAAAACTCTCACTCATGAAATATGTGGCCTGAGCTGTGTGGTTTACCACTCTGTTCTTTCTGAAAGTACATTTTAATTATTAAAAGTTTAGCAAAAACGGCATTCGGCAAATTTTAGTCAGTAAACGGTCTAATACATGACAAACTTTCAAAAAGGTAGGTTTTCCTAATCATCATGCAGGGAAAGATGACTGAGGGTACTTCTGAGAGTTTCCCAGTACATCAGCAGCACTACTGGAGCAGTGTTGGGGCTGCAGGGAGATGAAGAATGGGGAAGGCCTTTATTTTGCTAATCTATATTTTTTCTGGCAGTCTGGATGGACTCTCAGACAGTCAAACTTCCACTCCCAAACCACCTCTATAAACTTGTTGTCGTCCTAACCACTGCTGCAGTGGTGTTTGTTGAAGACAGGGAAGGCATGTATTTCACGGATCTGTGAATGAGCCAGAGCTCAGCCTGTGCACATTTCTCATCGGGCTTCAAATATATCCACATAACACCCACCTAAATGACATCAATGTCAGCCAACTCACATGAAACAGATTATTATGTGAACGCAGGAAATGACAATGAGGATCTGCAGGCAATAAGACAGGACTGACATGAGCAGGAAAAATCAAGGTCTGTCAATACATATGTAATAGCTTACATCCTATAGCAACATACTGTATATATAAATACAGAACATTTTCCCACTAATTTTCATATTGATTACCAGTATATCACACTCTTAAGGTAAAGGCAAGTTTCTCCATTTTAATTGCAAAGGGTGCATTGGACATGTGTTGCTGTGATTAGAGTTTGTAACGCGTGAGTATAGTATAGTAAACTTGGGTCATCAGATTTTTTTGAATTATTAAATTTGTTAGTAGTTATAAAAATGAATTCTATATAGGTTAGTTTATCAAAAACATCACACTATATAATATTGCATAAAGTCAGAAAGAAGGAGTCAAAGCGCTCTGCTCTGTTAAATCCAATTTGTAAATGTGGCATCCAGCTGAAATTAAAAAGCCCTGCACTGACCGTTCTCTTACCTCGCATTGTTATTGTACCTCAATTGGCAAAACCGACCGCTCACATTTTCAGAGAAGGCATTTGAGAAATCTCGCCCACCTGTGTTTCCTTAAGTAGTGATGTCTTGGCGGGGTGAGGTGCCTTTTGAAACCGTGACATGAAAGCTCTCCACTGAACCCCACACAAATACACTGGCTGGCAGCTGTTTGTGTGTGTGTGTGTGTGTGTGTGTGTGTGTGTGTGTGAGAATTATACATGTGCACAATGTGTTAATACAAATTTTATCAACAGCACTGTTTTACAAGCACATGGACATAATAAACACCAGCAGGAACGTGTGTTCATGTGTTTGTATGTGTTCAACAACGCTATAAAGCAATAGAGGAATGTGCTTTCACTCTTTAATGAGGTTCATCAAAACAGTGAGGCGTCAAGAAATGAGCCTCTTCACACGCAACGTGAAGAAACAAGAGCGGGTGGGTTATATATAGAAAATATATACAGACAGACAGACCATGAAAGCAAATGTGTTATTTCCATTAAGTCAACAGTAGGGCCCTTTGGGGGCAGAACTCCAAGACAAGCTCAACATCATACGTGACATAACATTTTGTGGCCTTTAAAAGTTGTTTAGGTGAATGAATGAATTAGCATTCATTTGGAGTCGCGTTTCTGGCAACTTGACCAACATAAGTTCAATTTACTCTTCTTCTAGCTCTGTTTTGGTCTCCACCACCCTCTTTAGCGGCTAACTGCTTCACTATGTCCATCAGATATTAGCTTTGCATTAACTTTGTTGGTTTGTTGTTAACGGCTAAAATCCACTGACTTGGGTCTACAGCACGTTCCGGCTGTGCCGCGGTTACCGGAGCATATCACGGCCATTATAGTCAATTCGTGTCCACCAAACGCGGTCCCTGAAGCGTCTTAGAAGCGTCTCTCCACTCTGCAGAGAATAGGTAGCAGGTGTATTTTTGACGCAAGCCATGTCAAACAGCACAAAGCAGATCAAACCAGGCACGAAGTCAGACACAGAACGGCATAGAGAATCTGGTCAATTTTCAAAATAAAACACCCTGTGGAGACTCCCGATCATAATACAGGTTACACACATGGTTAAAACATACACAAAAAGAAATCATTTAACTACGTAGCCTACTTAATCATAGTAGAAGCACAAAAAGCACACACTGATTACCCAATCAACAAAATCTAAACATGTCAGCAAAATCAGGCAGGCAAAACGCTCTGATTCTGAAATAAAGAAGTCAGTAACGTGGGGCAGGCAAAACGCTCTGCTGCTGAAACACTTCTGAGACGCTTCCAGTGGACTTTGATGCAGGGCTATGAACGATCAAATTGTGGCACAGCTGTAACGTGCCGTAGCCGGAGTCAGTGGATTCCCGTAGTTAGTGCTGGGCAGGTAACAGTTTTACCAGGGCTTTTTTCTGAAAACATCTGCCTGCTGTTTGGAGGAACTGACTGGATCAGACAGTAAAGTTTTGTACTGTAAAACCAAAACCAAAAGTCCCATATGCATACAGAGAACCCACAGAGCTGGGAGATATTCTCTGTGGGTATGTAACTACAAGTGGACCTGTGGTGTATAACATATGTGCATCTGGCCATTACGTGTATCCGGCCATTACAGTTTAACATAATGCTCTGCAGCTGGTGAGAGGGACAGTGAACCCTTATGGGGAAGTAATGATTGATGGGTGCAGTGTTAGGGGAAGTAGAAATTAGGTATAAAGAGATTAGTGTGTATAAAGAGATTAGTGTGTATGAAGGGACTGTACCCTTCTGTGGTGTCTAATAGATGGTTACACTTATTTTACAGCACTGTGCCCTTATATGGTTTTTAGCAGAGACCTAAACATGTCCTATATAAGCTGTGTTCGATGTACAGAGAGACAGAGTGGTCATCGGGCTGGGTCACTCTCCAAGCTGCTGCAGAGCTTGTAATTGATGCTGAATTCTTTGATGTAATAAACTTTTATAATCAAGAACAGTGTCAAGCGGATTTCTTCTCAACACATCATCGCAGCATTATCGTTCGGACACCACAGACCGTTTCACATTACCTTTACTCATATGACCCACTGGTAATTTGTAGACATTGCATATAATGTACACTAACCTACAGTCCATCAGCATTAGGAAGTCTTCAGCTGCAGGGTATTCTAACCTGAAATGAAAGGAAATGTTTATATTACTAAAGTAGAATACTAATACCATACTAATCTGCAAAGAAAAAAAAACGAGGGGAGAGTTTCTATTTTAGTCAACTTACGCTTACTAAAATAAGATTTTTTAAGTAAAGTAATAACGATGAGTGTTACCTGACTAGCATACTAGCAGATGTTTTGCAGGATGTATTTCATACCAAAAAAGGACAGCAGTTAAAGATTTAAAGGCCGTAAACAAAAAATAACACGTAGAATTTCCAAGGATCGCGGGAAGAAACAGTTCGGGAGACAGCATGAGTTAACCAAGTAAAACAAAGAGATATTTTTTTCTCAATTGAATGGAGCTGGAGATGTTAACTGGGAATGCAAGAACAATGTACAGAAAGCAAACAGGATGAGGACAGACAAAATGAGATAGAAGGAAGAGCTAGGAGGTTAATGGCAAGTGCAGTTTATAAAAAACAGAGGGCAAGGAAGGAAAAAACTGCAGGATTTACAGGAATAGAGGAAGAAAGGAGAGGGGGGAAGAAAAATGAGATTAAGGAGAAAGAAGACAGTGTAGCGATTTAGTGATCAGGGTAAAACTGAAGTTTTCTTTCCAAATCTGAAAAGTTTCTTCTTCTTGATTCCCCATGATGATGGTAAATCTTATATTCCACATCATACTGCCTGCACTGTGGTGTGTGTGTATGCAGTCTATATAAATCTACAGTGTGTTTTCTTTTGCTCTGCTCGAGTGGAATATTTTTCTAATGAGAGTTTTATTTCTGACTCCGACCATCACATGAACGAACAAACTCACACACACACACACATGCCATCAGAGACAAGCATATGGAAATTAAATCAAGCGGGAGACAGAGGGCTTGCAGAGGCCAAGGGACACACACACGCATACATTTATAAAAACACACAGACCAAGGTCACTCATACTTTGATCTAGAGTACATTTGTATTTTAGCATTCCCTTTCCTCTGCTAACATATTAACTTGTTTGTACACAAACCTAAAACACATTACAGCACGTTCTCCCTCTCTCTCTCTCTTTGTCTTGATGTCGCACAACTCGCAAACACCCCCCCCACACACACACAAAAAAACCCACACATTCCCTGGCACACGAAACATGGAGGGCGTCAAAACAAAATCGCCAAAAACAGCACAAACATCCGTGTGTGTGTGTGACCTCTCACACTTTTCCTAAGTGACTTGTGCATGTTTACATACTGTATGTGTACAAGAGTTCATAAGTAAAGGAAAACATGCATGTTTCTGCTTGTATGTGTGTGTGTGTGTTTCCCGTGAGCATCGGCACCATCAACACCATCAATGCCCAAACCAAAACATTCATAAAAGTTTCAGCAAGACATCAAAGGTTGTGACCTCCATTGACTCTCTTTATCTCTGGCCTGTGTGCGTGGAGTCACCAGATACTATCTCTGATCTTTTATCGCTCTGGTTTTATTGTAAACGGCTGCAGATTCACCTGCCAGACAACATGCTCATTCAAAAGGTTCTTTGGCAACCTTTTGGCCTTCACTTCACCCGGATAACATCAGTGGTTCAGCCAAAGAAAAGAAAAAAACCTTTAAAAAGTTGACTGTCTGTTAGCTCTAAAAACTTAAAAATTCACTGGATTGGTTACACTTATTTGAACTTCTGGCAAATGACACTTGATGGATTACTTTTTCCAAAACTGCTTGTAGCAGAGGGCAGGCATGTTTATCACAGGTAGCACGTGTGATACAAGCCTCATCTATGGTGGCCTTGAGGTGCAAAACATGACAGGAAACAAATTTTAAATTTATTAAATTTATTATCACTCTGAAGTAGCAAAGAAAGAACAATTTTCTATAAATTGATGAAATTTAATTCAAAGGAATATTTTATAATAACCTACTAGAGCTAACAGGTAATTAGCTTAGCATAAAGACTAAAACCTTTGTGTACATATTAAAAGAACAAGGTCTTACTTAGGACCTATTTTTATTTTCCTTGTATCTGCTTCCCCTTGGAAACATGGTGTCTCTTTTCATGTTTATGCTGATGACACACAAATCTACATGTCGGCCAGATCCATAGACCCTGGAATGCTCAGTTCACTTACCAATTGCCTTTGTAAGGTAAAAAATAGGATGTCAAATAATTTACTCTAACTGAACACAGACAAAACAGAGATGCTGGTCATTGGTCCCAGCAAATGGCAAAACAAATACTGCCATCTGCTGGTTCCCTAGTGAATCACATTAAGCCTGTTGCAAAGAATCTTGGCGTCTGGTTTGACAGCAGTTTAATTTTCGAGCAGCACACCACAAAGCTTGTGCAATCATGCTTTCATCATCTTAGACATTTATCAAAACTATGATCAATGTTAACTAAGGACACTGAGACTTTCTTACATGCTATTACATCATCATGCCTGGATTACTGCAACAGCCTTTTCACTTGTTTAACCCAAAAATCCATTGATCGACTCCAGACTGTCCAGAACTCAGCTGCCAGGCTTTTAACCAGAACAAAGAAATATGACCACATTACCCCTATTTCAGCTTCATTACACTGACTCCCAGTATGTTTTAGAATACACTAAAGTTTTATTCATTACTTTTAAAGCTCTTCATGGCCTCTCTCCTTGTTATATCGCTGACCTTTTAGTCATACCAGCACGTACCTTGAGATCCTCGGGTAGAGGTCTGTTGTCTGTTCCAGAGTCTCGACTGAAAACTAAAGGGGACAGAGCGTTTGCAGTCAGGACCCCGAGGCCTGCCCGAGGAAATAAGGGCGGGTCAGTGAACTCTTTAAGGTCCCTTCTTAAAACATTTTTTTTTTTATAGAAGAGCCTTTCCAGATTTCAGTTGATTTTAATTTTCCCTTTAAATTTTTATTTAATTTTAATTTCATGACTTTCTTCCTGCTTTACCATGCATGTTTGCAGTGTTTTATTTTTTTTGCTCTTGTGAAAGCACTTTGTAATATTGTGAAAAATGCTCTATGAATAAAGATTATTATTATTATATGTTTCTTAGAGAGGCTGTTTTTCCTGTTTTAATCTAAGCTAAGCTAAAGGTCTTCTGGCACCAGCTCCATATTTGGCATACGGACATGAGAATGTCAAGCAAGAGAAAAAGTGTATTTCCTAAAACTTTTAACAATTTCCTTAATGAATTGAATTAAAAACAACAATCACATTTTATATCTCAGACTTCTGCTGCAGCTCTGGAGGTCGTCAGATCTGATCAAGGCCCTCAACTCATAACCAGATGATGCATTACTGTAGTTCAAAGTTCATTTCATTTGTCACGAGGTTGTTTTCAGTTCATCAAGGCACAAAAAGCATAGTTTTGTTGGTGACCTGTTGTGTCTTTTGCAGGCTCATTCACCAGTTGTTATGCAGTGTGTCTGTTAGGATTTCAGCACTGCTTTGTGCTTCTCACTGATTCAATCTGCCTTGTTTGCTGCATATTTCTCTGACTGATACAAGTGGGAACAATATGTTTTATAGACAATAAACATCTTTTTTATTTAGTCTACCAGCTTGTTGTTTATGTGAGGCTTCAATAAGAAGTCATCATCAGTGCTGGAAGTTTTTTTTAGGGTGTGTGTTGTCTAATGTGGATCAGATTGTTACGGCTTTCTTTGTAGGTAACCTTACCTTACGTTGTTTTACTTGTGTCTGCGTGTCGAGGTAGTATCTTCGACAGCATACCTCATCAGCAGTGAGGACAATGGGTTGGATCAATAAGCAGCAAGACAAGGCAAAGTGACAAAGAAGTTGTGGCTATGAACCTTTATGATTAGGTGGAGAAAATGCCACATGCAGGTTCAACCAGCATCGGAATCAGCTTTATGGCCAGATATGTTTAAACATACAAGGTGTTTGCTTTGGTGACTTGGTGCATAACCATACACATAAACATATAAATATAAAAACATTAAATTGACAATTGGCAGTGGCTTAGGAGACAGAGAGGTTGCCCTCTAATCGGATGGTTAGGGGTTCGATCTCCTCCTGTCTTTGGGAAAGATACTGAACCGCAAATTGCTCCCGATGGTCTGTGCAATCAGTGTGTGAATGTTAATTTCTGTGCTGATGAGCGTTTGGCAACTTAGCCTCTGCCATCAGTGTATGAATGTGTGTAAAAAGGGTGAATGTGACGTAGTGTAAAAGAGCATGGAGTGGTGGGAAAGACACGTACAAGTATAGACCATTACCATTTACAGGAAATTCAAAATATGAGAATAATAAAGACTGTGCAATATGGCAGTTATTTACATGTTCATCACATTTGTATGCACAAACATTTACAATATGTATTGTAAAAGGGGAATGGAGCGTTAGGGGTGCATGACAGCCAGTAACAGTGGGGGTCCCAGGCCTTGTTGATGAGGCCAGCTGTAGATGGGAGGAAGCTGTTCTTGTGGCTTGAGGTTTTGGTCCTGATGGACCGCAGCTTCCTGCCAGAGGGGAGTGTCTGAAACATTTGTGTCCAGGGTGGAAAGGGTCATCCACAATTTTTCCAGCTCGCCTCAGAGTCCTGGAGGTGTACAGGTCCTGGAGAGATGGAAGATTGCATCTCCTCTGTGGAGCAGAGCAGCTTGCCCTTGTCCCTGGCAGTGGCAGCAGCGTATCAGATGGTGATGGAGGAGGTGAGGATGGACTCGGTCCTGGCGGTGCAGAAGTGTTCGGTAATGATGGTGCCCATGATGATGATGATGGTTTAACTTGATGACGACTTAGGTGTATTTTGAGGAGCAATAGATGCAGTATTTTTCAGGGGTGTGTACCCTACCCTAACCTACCTTTAAAGAAGGACAATTCTGTTTTGTTATAACTTTGTCATCATATCAGTTAGTTTTGGCCATCATACTTATTTGATAACATAACTTTACTGACACCAGGGGACGCGCCAACATTGCTACTAATATCAGTTTTTGTGTAGGTTTTCTGCAGGTCCGTTTTCAAAATGTTTTATTTGATAAAACATCTATTTCTGGTGTG